AGGTCATCATCGTGAAAATATAGGGTGTGGCTTTGAGGATAATTAGAAGACTACATCTCATAAGTGTGGCTATGTTTTTGAACATTAATATTGTTTATGAAGATAGAGCTAGATTGCTTATCTCTTTTCCCCATATATAGGTAGGAGATCCATGCATGGAAGCACAGTCCAGTTAACAAGTGCAGAATGCTGTTTATCACTGAGAAAACACTGAAAAGAAAACAAATCTTTTGCAGGGTGAAAATTGTTTGGGAGAAAATTAAGAGTAATCAAAGATTTTAATTTGATAAGGAATCATCTTACCTGGGATGTCAGGTGCAAATAGGAAATGAAATTGAAATTTCTCAGAATAAAATGAAAGGAAGAGAGAGAGAGAGAGAGAGAGAGAGAGAGAGAGAGAGAGAGAGAGACATCATAACAAAGACAAGACAAGGACTATTCTGAAGCAGGATGATTTAGGATGATTTTGTGCTATTGTAGAACTGGCTTTCAATGTGCTTCTCTCAAATGGTAAGGACCATTAAGCAACTTGTGCAGGATATTGCCATTGCTGAGCATATTCTTTTTCAGCTTTTGACCAGTCCAATTCTCTTCATACTCATTTGATTTCAACCAAACTGACAAGCTTCCAACAAAGTCTTGCATAAGCATGGAACAACCCCCATAAATCAGAGCCATAAATGGAAGCTCCCTTACTTTTTGCTTATATCTCTAGGCACATTTGTACTATAATGGCTTCCTCTATGATACATTAGGGTACATGTAATTACAATAGGGTCATTATTTTCTCCTGATTTTTAGCACAGAGCCCATAACACAGGATACTCAACATACTCAACAAATATCAGCTGGATGTCTTGTATTACTGTAATATGGGAAAAATAGGGAGAGTCTGTCCATATTTACATTCCCTATATCTTCTTATAATGGTGTATAAAATCTTACCGTCTTCAAATGCATCTCTGCCTTACAATACACTGTTCTACATTCAGTTGAAATATTATGGCTTTAATAGTTACTTGTCAGTCAATAGAGATTAGGGAGAGGGACAGTGAGGGAAGCTGGAAGGGGACTGGAGAAGAACTGTTATCTGAGTAAAGGTGGATAGAAGGGATAAGTTCTATTGGCATCTATAGTTCAGAACAATTAATCATAAAATTTATTTAAATATAAAATAACAGAGTTTGAAAGTCCCAAGCATAAAGAAATGTGTTCAAGCAACTGGAAATACTAGCTATCTTGATTTGATTTGATCATTACACAAAATATTCATTTATCAAATTATATGCTACACAAATTATATGTGTACAATTATTATGCATTAATGAAAGGTAAGACAAAAATATGTGTAGCTTGTAACTTTGATTTTTAGAATTGGAAGCAAAAAATAGACAATATAAGTGAGAGGAGGCTATAAGGGAATGAGGACGGTAAAATACGTGGAATATAAAAGAGAACAAGTGACTGCTAGGAGCGGCAATGTTTAAAGAGGAATGGGGTTGGTGTTTGGTGAGAAGATGGGGTATGGGAAAGACTAAACCAAACTAAGTCTGAATGAAGAAGTCACATGGAAACCCATTATTTTGTAAGCTAATTAAAAATCATATTTGTAAAATGATTTTGAAAAGTGGTACCATGCATGAGTTAATAAAGCTGATCACAGAAGTCACGGGTTATTAAGCAAAATATCCCAGTTCAAGATGTAGAACTCCTTGAGATATCAGCCAGGAAGGCTCTAGTATCCTCTAAAATTCTATAGGTTATGGCCACTGACCTTGACTGTCTATCAGAACTTTATTGTAAGACCCTATTTCTGAAGATATCACACTCTTTGGTTACAGAATAGAAAATAATTATGCTGACACCGAGTTAGAAGCTTCCTCACTGAAGTTGGTTAGTGAGCAGCTGGGGAAAAGTCAGCAATGGTCTTCTCCAGCTTTGGAACTTGTGTGCTAAAATCCCAACTTGTCAAGCAAGAGGTACTTACTGGTGCAATACTTGGACAACAATTATGTGGCTAATTGATTTCTGGTTGGCTCTGAGGCTCATGTAAGAGGAAGTCCATGCCTGGTATTATAGACCTAGCTAAAGACCAATGAATGGGGACACAGCAAGCACTAAGGATGAACCTATTACTCATGTTTTGCTGAATGGACACACGGTCATACTGCCACGTAAATGTGTATATTTATTCCCATATATTGCCGTCCTCAGCCTTGATATAAGTTTCTTTTCATACAAATGGCAGTTAAGGCGAAGATTGTTATTTTATCAAAGTGTTAAGGACAAGTCACTGTTGGGTGCTCAGCACTAAATAGCACACCAATAATGTCTCCTACACTGCTCAGAACAATGACAAAATGACTGTAAGATTTGATCATGAGGAGAGATCATGATATGGTCATGGCACTCATGAACTACTAGCTGCTAAAGCTTACTTCCTTGAGCCTGTATAGACCTAAGTCTCTCAACATAGAGTCATAGGTGGAGAGGGATTCAAGGGGCCCTGCACAATACATGTTAAAGGTTGATAGAGCAAAATATTGCATACAGAATCTGGAGCTATGTTGGGAGAATCCATGGAGGCAATTTAGAGGTATGACATGATGGGTTTTAAATATTTTAATTGGTAAGATGAAGCAGTTTAATGACATTGTGGTGTTAGAAACATTTTTAAAGCAGAAAAGGTCTTTCATGTATCATATATCTTATTATTAGCAAAACCTGACATGCACAGTAGAGCCTTATAAAAAGGATCATTGTTTTCTTATCAGTACAGAGTGTTGCATTAATATTAGTGGTTATTTAATCGCATAAATCATACCATTACTGTAAATAAGAAAGGGAAAAAATGCTACCAATCAAACTACAACCCACCTAGATGGTATGCTGCCTGACAATTTAAAAATATGTGTGCATGTATGTTAGTTCATTTCCTGTTACTGTATCTAGAGATCACAAGCAAGGTCACTTATAAAGAAGAAAAGCTTCTGAGTCCTAGTACTACAAGCAGTGACTGAGAAGCCATACCAAGTCCATTTGTTATCCTTATTTTTCCTTTGATCAAATACCTGACAAGACCAATGTAAGGACAGTTTGATGGTATGACACTCCTTCATGACAGGGACTACTTGGTTGCAGGGGTATAAGGTAGTTAGACAGATGGCACCTACAGTTGGAAGCAGAAAGAGATAAATGCCTTTGTTTACCTGACTTTTCCCTACTTATTGAATCTTTAACCCATAGGATAGCAGCACCCACATTCCAGGTAGGTCTTTTTTCCCCAGTTAAACCCTCCTGGAAATGCTCTCATGAAGATATGGAGAGATACATGTTGCCAAGGTGATTCTAAACTCAGTCAAGAGAACAAATCTAATCATTGCACAGATTGAAGTCTCTTTCCAGTGGGGACTCTTTTGGTGTCCCTGGGAAGCACAGAGAATCACACGGAGAGAGAAACTGAGCTAGTCCTCTTGTTATATAGAATGTTTCTTAAGTGCCAGCTCAGCTCTCTCTCTCTCTCTCTCTCTCTCTCTCTCTCTCTCTCTCTCTCTCTCTCTCTCTCTCTCCTACTGTTTCACTTAATCAAGATCACTCCCTCCAGGCAATTAAGGCATCACTTTTTTTTAATACCCCACAATTCACATAAATTCAATAAGAGCTTTTGTAGAGCCCTTCAAATCATAACAGTACGTATGCATGCATTAGGGAATGGGTGTTATTTAGTATTGGGATTACAGGTTTTCTTCTCCAGTTGGTTAAAATCGTTAGCAAACATACACTCTTCTTGCCCTTACACACCCACACAGGAAACAGCTCCGCAAACATCTGGATTCTGGCAGTTTTGTCACACAGATACTGTTTTAATTGCACAGTAGGTACTTGAGATTTGTGAGTTCCAGGAACAAGCAGGATGAGCCAATGCAAGTGTTGAGGCACCTTCAACTTCTGAGATCCCTATGTTGTTCTATTTTGGCAAATAATTTACTTCTCTCCTGGCAAAATTGCAGGGGTTTGCATTTGTGCTGAAGCAGCAGCTATGCCCACTTTGCAGAACACTGGCCACCTGAAAAACAGCCGCACAGAAAAGAAGTACTCCCATAGAAGATATGGGCTCTTTTTAATCTTATTTATAAAAGCGGCAATTATGCCTGCAGAGGAAAGAAGCACACACCGGTCCTTTGGCAGGTTTCCAGAGAGGAAGGCAGTATCCCCTGCATTTAACCTTGAAGTACACTTCCTCACAATCCCTTCATGATTGATAATAACTGGAGACAAGCGAACTGCTTAGACTTCAAGTGCGTGATTACAGCATTCACTCCCTTTTTATTTTTATTTATTTTTTTAAAGGAAGAAATACTGTCTGCTTCTTTTTCCTGTTGAGTGGTAATTCTTCCAGCTGAAACACTGAGTCATCCCCTCCTCCCTTGCTTTGGAAATGTAGGTTCTGCTGAAGTAGGGCTGGTGGTTATGAAGGAGGAGCAAGGTTAGTTCTGGAGTTCCACCTTTATTATGTTTTTTGAGCCAGGATCTTATGATGTAGTCTAGGCTAGTCTTGAACTCCCAGCGGTTCTCTTCCTTAGCCTCTCAACTGTGGAGATTATAGATTATGCACCTTCATGGCTGGCTTGAGTCCCACATTTGTTGCTATTTCTTGTAGGACCCTTGTGAAACTGTTGGTGATGGGACTTGTCGTATTTAACCCCTTACATGGACAATAATTTTTATACAAGAAATGGAATCATGCTATCACTGTCATTTCAACATCACTTTGTCCATGTGGACTGTGGCAGGTGTTCTTACTCCACCACCCTCTGGTTTCATCTTTGCAGTTCCAGCTATTTCTCCCTTTTATTTTGTGTGAATCTGTTCCTGTCATCATTTTAGCTGACTTAACACACCATTTCAAGTTGATTTCTTTTTCCCATGATCACTCTTTTCTCATGTCCTAGATGAAGTATTTATAAATATGAAGTTTTAATGGTTAGATAAAAAGTTTTAAAAGGTTTTCTTTTATACATATATTGCATTTTGAAACTATTCTCCCTCCAACATCTTTACTGTAACTTTTCCCTCTTAATACTTCCTGCTGGTGCCATTTGCCCCCCAGACAGTTTACTGGAGAACATATCAGAAATTAAACTGACAAAACAGATACCACACTTGACCTTAGCCCAGAGGCTGAGAAGCAATTGACGTAATGTTAATAGCTATCCTTACTCAATGGGAGAGCCCCTTTCATATTGTTATTCATTTATTCAATGAAAATGTGTTCAGCTTCTACTATAGACAAGGGTTGTACAAGGCTGTGCAGATGCAGAGAAAATTACTATGCGGGGTTTATGCTCCAAAAGTTAAATAGGAGTAGACAAATAGTTCTCTAATACAGTGAAATATACACCAAGGGAGGTTTAATTCAAATGGCATTAAGAGCATGTGTAAAGTGACAAATGCAAATTAGCCCTCAAATTTGTCAAGATATAAGACATGGAGACAGAAGCTCTATGGGAGTACACTAAGGAAAGACTGGAGCTTAAAACAATTGAGACACATTTTTCAGTCGTTCTGTTACAAAGGGAAAGTGAGACAGGACCCTGATTGCAAGTATTTTTCAGTTAGCTTGCTTCTTAGATGAGATGACATAGCACAGTATGTTTACAGTTAGGCTAATCTGGTAAAGACTCAAATCTTGCACATTTAGGAGAGAGGAGATTGCCTTAGTGCAGTTTTAAAGGTTGGAGGCCTGCAGTACAGATATGGTTTGTTTGGCTGCAGTTTTGCTGAGGTGGGAGTAAGAAACACAGGATAGATATTTGAGAGTTGGGGAAGGATTGATTGATAGAAAGTACAGAGTAACATCCTCCAGCAAGGTGGAGACCCATGGAGATAGCAGTGCCATAGCTGACTCAGCACTGATGTGAACATTTCTCCATACAAATCCCACTGCTAGCCTTAAGAATCCCAAAGAGAACGAATTAGCATGCAGTTTGTTTGCAAAGTAGAATAGAGAGAAAAGTAGACAGTACTTGAAGTTGTGAACAAGGATGTCTCAGGACAGCTGTAATTACACTGGAGAGGGAGAGCAATGAAAATGGTGCAATTGCTATGATATGGAAAAGTAGAAGATGGTTGTGAGAACAGGAGACTGGGATCTGGAATCTGGAAAACTGCATTCCAATTGGAAAACAAGTTCAAGGGTACTTTCGAAGAATGATTGACTGGAATCAGGAAGACCATAAAAGGTACTTAGAAAAGGGATGCAGACAATGGGATTCAGGCCAAATGGCCCATGTGAAATCTGAAATGATTAAAGGCCATGTTTAGAATTGTGACAGACAGAAGTTTTGTGGATCAATCCTTTTCTGCATTATAAATATGTGTTAATCTCCTTGCTTAATAAAAAGCTGACAGGCCATGGCTGGGCATGAAGTTAAAGCCAAACTGAGAATGAATGGAAGATGGAGGGAAGAGTCAGGAGAGACACCAGCCAGCTGCCCAGGAAACAAGACATGCCAGAGGACAGGTAATGCCACAAGCCATGTGGCAATATATAGATTAATAAAAATGGGTTAATTTAGTTGTAAGAGCTAGTTAGTAACAAGCCTGAGCTATTGACCATGCATTTATAATTAATATATGCCTCTATGTGGTAATTTGGGAAGCAGTTGCCAGGTATTAGGGAGCAGGTGGTCAGGACAAGAAATGTCTGTTTAAACAGAAGGCTGCACATGAAAATATCAAGAAATGAAAAACAATGGATAAGGTACAACAGACACCTACAGTACCCAGGATTTATATTTTGTCAGTATTTGTCAATGGCCTTACAAAAGATGATTAGCACAAAAGGCATGGCTATCTAATCTCTGGCCTCTGATAGGCAGAGTGGGGGAGGCAGAGATTTTTCTGTCTGCTCTACAGGAGACACTGAAGAAGTTGAATTATCAGAAAAAAATTGATCATTATAAATGAAAAGATGAAGGAAAGCAAAAATATTATGTACTGTGTATCTATAATGACAGGACACATTCTAATATGGTTTTCTGAAGAATGATGTACTGAAAAGAAATGTAAAAAAATCTATCAGTAATAGATTGTACAGCTTCTCTTGCCCTAAGGATGAACAATGTATTTAAAGACCTTAGAGTGATGGACATTTGGTATTCAAAATTCAAGGAAGATTTTTGTTTTCTTTTCTGGTTCATGGTAACTTGATAAGCAGATTAGAAATGAAAGTGGGGTGGTGTGGGCAGGGGGATGCAGGGAAATTCAGATCCAGAGTCTTGGAAAGCATTTCCTATATACAAACTTATAGCTTCCAATATGCAGAAGTGATATCATTGTGATAGAAACAATCACTATCAGTACCCCAAAGTATTCAATGTCCCCTAGTGTCCAGGTATGAAAAATATAAAAATGGAAGGGATATTTTAAGCAAACAAATATGAAGAGGCTTTGAGAATAGAGAAAGAGACAGAGTACATTTTGAGCACAGAACATTCCTTAATGGAAGTTTAGGAATGATGTTTGCTCAATGTGACACTGGACAACCTGCTACTAGAAGATATGTTTAGAATTGCTCCAGACTAGCACTCACAAGCATGAAGGAAAACTATTCTCCCAGCAGAGACACCACATTTTTAATTCCACATAAGGATCATGAGGGCTGATGGGGTCTGCGATCATGGGCTGATGATCTATAACATGTAGTTATAAAGATAAATGGATTCTAAATGGATCTGGTGATGGGACTATTTACGCTTCTGGCATTTACTCTTTTAAAAGTCTATGGACTCATTTGAGGGATATATGTTCTTTGTAATTAAAGATGATAACTGGGCTCCTTAATGAGCCCATAGGGTACAATACATTGTCTATGTGAGCATCATACTCTTTTCATTTGTCAGGAAGCAGCTTGCTAGACTCTTCCCATAGCCTTTCTATTTCATTGAAGACAGTAGTATAGTCCTTGAAAAGAAAAAAAATCTTTATTTATTTGACCTAATCAGGGAATGAGTATTTCTCCCTTTGTTTCTCTTCTCTGCATTTTATAGCCCTATAAATGCCAAATTTGAAGGAAAACAGCTTATGATAGGACTCTTTCAAACTGGTGTATTTCCTTACATAAGTGAAAATAAGATGCTTTAAGGTTTCCTTGCCTCCTGAGACTGGGTACCCTTGGTGCTGGAGCAGGAGCTACCAAAACAAGACCAAACCAGCTAATTTCTCCAGCAAATATGCCAATAGCTACATCGTATGCTCTCTATGTGTATTAAATGAGTTAAAGCCCTAGAGATAATGCCTAGAGAGTGTTTAGAATTGATTCTGGAGCAGACTACACTGTCTAAACTAGCTGTCTTTATCTTCAGCTTCACCTGGTCAGCATCGTAATGAGTGCAAACAAAATTTTCCTCAGCTTTGTAGATGGTATGGTAGCTCAGCAGGGGAAGGTATTTGCAACTAAGCTTGTCAGCATGAGTTTGATCCCATGAGCCCAAGAAGTGTCAGAAAAAAACTGGCTCCTCCAAATTGTCCTCTGATCTTTACATGGGCACTGTGGTGAACATTAGAACAATTTCCTTCAGCTTTAATAAAATGATGCCTTCAGAGTCACATGTGTGCAGTGGTCCTACACTATGGGCAGTCCAATTTTTCATTCCATGTATTTAATTATGAACACCTTTTACTATTATGTGTACTTTTGCACAACTGCATTAATTTTCTTCAACCATTGGATTTTATGCCTTTGATAGTTTCTGATATAAGAAACCTGGCTCTTAGATTTACTAGAACTGTGAAGAGTATAAAATAGATTTTGAATGAAAGCCGGAGGGACTCTTTTATGAGCAAGGCCACAGAATTTGGAGTATGAAATTGGTGACATCCATATTGGTTATTGGGAAAGCTTTCATGAATTCAGTTTAACTCAGCAGCACTTTTCAAGTATATGTCAGGCGTCTGCTATATGAGGCCCAGATCACTGTCATCACCACTTTTTCCATGACCAAAAGTCTTCTTTGAAAAAATCATGGTCTCGCAATTCCAGTCCAGAGGAAATGAAAGTGTAAGAGCTACATGACTTGTATACAGATGTTCATAGCTGCTTTATTTACAACGGATAAGTTGGAAAATTAATAAATACCCATGAGTAGGTAGAAAATCTTCAGCACACAATACTATTTAGCAATAAATAAATAATCAATCAATCAATCAAAAATAAGCAAAGTATTGATACATGGCACAGATAGACTTCAAAATCATGATGCTAAGTAATAGGGACAGATTGTCTCAATAATAGTACTATTCTGGTGTTTTTGTAAATATCATTGAAATGCAAATTAACACAGTAAGTCAGATAGAGGAAGTGTGAAGGATGGCACAGGGGCATGGGAAAACTTCAGAAGTGATAATATACTTAGTGTTTAGATTGTGATGCTAGATTTTTTTTCCCTCACTTTTATTTTTATTTCATACTATGGGTATACAGGTGTCTGTGAAAGGCAGAGGTTAATTCTGGCTGTCTTTATTACTTGGTCTCTATCTTATTTCTTTAAAGAATTTTGTTGTTGTTTGTATTTTCTTTTAATGTGGGGATGGAGAGATGAGTCAGTAGTTTTAGCCCTATGTACTCTTCTAGAAGATCTGGGTTTGATTTCTGGCATCCACATGGTGGCTCACAAGCATCTGTAACTTCAGTTTCAAGGACTCTAACACACTTTACTAGGCAGCCAGGAAACCAGGTACACACATAGTATATATGCATACATGAATGCAAAACACCGATATATAATTAATTAAAATATGTGTGTGTGTGTGTGTGTGTGTGTGTGTGTGTGTGTGTGTTTCTGTGTATGCACCTGTGAATGCAGAGGGTTCATGAATGCCAAAGAAAGGCTTCAGATTCTCTAGAACTGGAATGTCAGGTAGGAGTGACATGGATGAGGGATACTGAATTCCAGTCCTCTGTAAGCAAATGCTCTTGACCACAAAGCCATCTCTCCAGACCAACCCCTTACCTTATTTCTTAAGCCAAGTATTTCAGAGACCATTGAGGTCTCCATTTTGGTTAGACTCACTGACCAGAAAGCCTCAGGAATCTTCCTACCTCTGACTTTTTGTCCCAGAGACTACAGTCATGAACTGCTCCACGAGGCTTTCTTTTGGACACGATGTAGGGATCAAACTCAGGCCTTCAC